GCGCGTGCGAATCGGGGTCACCAATTTGTAGGACTAGTAAATACTAGTCCGAGACGATGCGCGTAATTAAACGCGGATATCAGAAGGCAATGGGAGTCGGACACAGCGGACTGTATTCGATGGGCTAGAACAAGAAACGGACGGATGAAGCGAGGCAAGAGCGTACACGTGAGCGCGGGAACTTACAAGGCAGTTGTGTGTCGAGTCGGTTGTAAGATTAAAACAAGAAGGAGTAATGTACAATCGGTCAACAAGTAAATTGTACACGAAAGATAAGAGTTATCTTTTTGGGCGCTACAAGCTTCAAGTGCACTGATGTCGCGCTTGCGCCAGGGACGCCAGGCCTGGATCGCATACTCCACGGTCTGATAGGGTTAGGACGGAAACTCATCTATCGCGAAGTTATAGATCGCTGGAAGTCGCTTCCAGGTCACGTGGTTAGGGCACCTACGATTAACGGTTTTGCGCGCCAGCTCGATGCTCTTGGGTGGCAACAGCAAACCTTTCCGTTTTCCTAGCTGACCCTCCTTCAGTCTTCATTTCCCTTTTTAATGACTCATATATCTTAGTATTCCACTTTCTTAACTCTTTCCACTTTCTCTTTTGTCTTCTGAGTTTACTTTTTTTCTTACTTCACGTAGCCGACCCAGCAGGGACTGCTAGGGCAGGATACATGGGCATTAATTGGTTGGACACGGTGTGATGCGGTCTTTTTTTAGGTCCATCAGTATTTCAAAGTTCGCCAACTCCTGGTTCAACGACCCGCCGAAGAAGTAACACTCACGGGATAATCCTATCGTTCCAGTCCCGCTTGAACTTGAAGTTGAACTTGCCTACAATATTCGGTAGGGTTGGCTTCGTCTCTGTTTTCTTTACTGACATTACTGTTTTCTTTTATTGTTCACTGGGCCCGTTCAGCGGCGACTGCTAGTGCAGGGCACGTGGGCACTTTTTTTGTTGACCATGTGAATCGTGTGTCCTGATTTGGCTCTCCTTTGGCTCTGTGAGTACTACTAAACTGATTGATCTGCGGATAGTGACGTCCTTTTGAGCGTTCTGGTTCATTGAAGTATTTTGATCCAAAGAAGACGAATCAAACTCGTTTTGGTGACTCATCTGCGTACTATTTGGACTTCATCTGCTATGACGTCCAAATGCATGTCATGTTTTAGAGGAGTTGCTCCTCGCTCTAAAGCCTTGCAGTGTACCATTGAGTTCATTGAGTTTTAGAGAGCAGGAGGGAAATCCCTTGTCAGCCCCATCGATTCCGTGTCATACTGGGTTTGATGCGTGTCGTTGCGTTACGACGTTCCTCGAGGGTTCGTCGTAATTGCAGTGACAGCCACAAGATTCCAGCATTTTCAGCGAATGTTTGTCTAGCAGCCGCTTGAAACTTTCCTCGGATGGAGCGTCTGCAATTGCTTCCGGTAAGCTGTTCCAGTCATCACTCTAGTGGATAGGGTGACGTCCTTGCGAATTTTGTGTCTTCTTTGCTTAAAGAGCTTCCATGTGTGCCCTCGGGTGGAACAGTCTGTTGGGCCGGAAGAAATGTAACTCACTTCCAAGCTCTCCTCGGAGGATGCGTCTAGTGTAGATGAGGTCACCCCGGCGACGGCGGAGCTCGAGGGAGAACAGATTTAGCTTCTGGAGTCGAATGGGGTACGGGAGATCACGTAGCCCCAGAACAGCTTTCGATGCACGTCTCTGAACCTTTTCCAGCACAGCGCTTTCAAACTTTGAAAGCGGATAGCTAGCTGGTAGGCCATATTCTAAGACTGGACGGACGTACGAAGTGAACAACGGTCGAAAAATCTCGGGAGTCATTCGAGCGAATGATCTTCTTAAGGCACCTACCAGTCTCCTTCCAGTGGCCACCTTCTTTAACGTGTCCTGCGTCGTTCTAAGGTCAGAAGTCACGATAACCCCGAGATCTCTCTCGTGGGTGGTATTCCTAAGGAGAAACCCACCAATGTGGTATGCACCGTAAGATTCGGTGCCACCCATTGGGAGAACAGCGCATTTATCTCGGTTTACTGGGAGTTCCCACTTGATGGACCATTCGTGTAGCTGGTCTAGAGCCCCTTGTAATCTATCCGCATCCTCAATGCTGGATACTGTTGACCAAAGCTTGAGGTCATCGGCGTAGATCAAGCAGTCGGTTTGTAGCGCAGTCGGTAGATCGTTAATGTATAGTTTGAAGACCTCTGGTCCAAGCACTGATCCTTGGGGAATGCCACTAGTCATGGGCACTGGAGCAGAGAGGGTTTGGTTCACTTGTACGCGCATTGTCCTACCCCTTAAGAAATCGGCAATCCAGGAGAGAAGATTTCCTGTAGTGCCAATTCCCTGGAGTTTATGTAGCAGTCGTACGTGTGGAACCTTATCAAAGGCTTCGCTAAAGTCTGAATATTACGTCAACCCGTTTTCGTGTATCTATGGCTTCTGCCCATGTTTTCCTGGCGATGAGTAAGTTAGTGATGCATGAGCGTGCTCTCCGGAAGCCATGTTGAGCAGGTGAGATGAGGTTTAGATGCTCACAGTGTAGCTGGAGAGCGCACTTGACTATCCGTTCCATAGTTTTGCATACAACTGACGTCAGACATATTGGCCGGTAGTTGGCCGGGTCTTGTTTGTTTCCCCCCTTGTATTTGGGCAGGACGGTGCCTGCTTTCCAGCCTGTGGGTAGGCAGCCGACTTCGAGGGATTGCCGAAACACTTGGCAGAGAGGGACGGCGACGTGCTCAGCTATCGTTCTGAGGAAGCTGGGATGCAATCCGTCCGGGCCTGGGGAGGAGTTCGGGTCCAGTTCGAGAAGTAGCTTAGTGACTACTTCGGGGTTAATTTCAACTTCGTCCATAGAGGAGTGGTGTGCAGGCAAACGGTTGTTGAGCAGTGGTGACTCCACTGAGTAGACCGAGGAATATTGCGCAGCCAATAGATTTGCTTTTTCGTCATCACCGTAGAGAACGGTACCTTCCTTAAAAGAGGATAGAGCGGGGATTCCACTACCAGTTTTGGCATTTCGCTTCAAGTAGGCAAAAAGTTTCTTGGGACAGTTTTGGGAGTCCATGGCCAGTCTATGTTCATATTGTAGTCTTTTGTCTCGTTTTCTCAGGGTGCATAGGTTTCTGACAGTTTTGTACTCTAAGTAGCTTGATGTCTGTCCTGTGCTTTTGAAATGATCCCATAGTTTTCGACGTTTTTTCATTAGGGATCTTACTTCTTTATCAATCCATGGGGGGTCCTTTGGATGGTGGTCTGCTCTTGCAGTTTGGAACAAACTGTTCAACGAGCCGCATCATCATAGATCGTAGGCGTTCCCATGCGTCATCAAGCTCCAAGGATTGCGAGATACTCCAGTCCATGTTACTTGCAGTCGTTCTTAATCTGGGCCGGTCAGTACGCCAGAAATTTCGACGCAGTGTCCCCTGATCGTGGATTGTGAGGCGTCGTGTCCGCGAAAAGGAGACTGTACAGTGATCACTCGTCCCAAGAGGTTGGAGGATCGTTAGATCTGAGACATCAGATGGTGTCGAGGTGAGAACCAGGTCGAGAATGTTTGGTATCTGACCAGGGATCATTCGCGTTGGTGTCAGGACATGCTGTGTCAGGTTGCACTCATGAACGGTATCAAGGAGAGCAACTTCAAAGGAGTCAGGTGAGAGATCACTGTGAAGTAGTCTCCACCAATCCCCCACCCAAACAACACGACCAACACAACACCCAACACAACACACAAAACCAACAACACAACCACCACACCACACAACCCAACAACCCCACACCAACAACACCCCACCACCACACACCCCCCAAACCACCAACACCCACACACCCCACACCACACACCCACCACCCAACACCCCAACACCACCCCACCACCCACACCCACCCAACACACCACCCCCACACCCCACCAACACCACCCACCCAACCCCCACCCCACACCCACCCACCACCCCACCCCCCCAACCCACCACCCCACCCCACCCCCCACCCCACCCACCCCCCCCCACCACCCCCAACCACAACCCCACCACCCCACCCCACCCCCCCAACCCCCACCACCCCCCCACCCCACCACCCCCCCACCACACCCCCACACCACCTACCCCCACCCCCCCCACCCACCACCCCACCCCACCAACCCCCCCCTCCACCACCACCCACCCCCCCCACCCACCACCCCCACCCCACCCCCACCCTCACCCCCACCCCCACCACCCCCCACCCCCCCCCCACCCCCCACACCACCCACCCCAACCCCACACCCCCCACCCCCCCACCACCAATCCACCCACCCCCCACCCACCCCCACCCACCACCCCCCACCAACCACCCCACCCCCCCACCCCACCCCCACACCACCCACCCCACACCCCACCCCCACCAACCCACCAACCCCCACCCCACACCCCCCCCCCACCAACCCCACCACACCCCCCCCACCCACACCCACCCCCCCCCCACACACCCCACCCCACCACCCACACCCCCACCCACCCCACCAACCCCCACCCCACCACCCCCCCACACCACACCCCCACCCCCCCACAACCACCCACCACGCCACCCCCCACACCCCCACCCCACCCCCAACACCCACCCCCACCACCCCCACACCCCACCCCCACCACACCCCCACCCACCACCCCACACCACCCCACCCCCCCCCACCCCCCACACCACCCCCACCCACACCCACCCCCCCACCCCCCCACCCACACCCACCACACCCCACCCCCCCACCCACCACACACCCCACACCCCCACCACCCCACCCCACACCCACCCCCCACCCCACCACCCCCCCCCCACACCCCCACCCCCACCCCCCACACCCCACACCCCCCCCCACCCCCACCCCCCCACCCACACCCACACCACCCCCACCCCCCACACCCACACCCACCCACCCCACACCCCCACCCCACCCCCAACCCCCCCACACCACAACCACACCCCCACCACCCCACACCCCCACCCACCCCCCCACCCACCACCCCCCAACCACCACCCACCCCCCCAACCACCCACACCACCCCACCCACCCCCCACCCACACCCCCACCACCCACACCCACCCCCCCCCCCCCCACCCGCCCCCAACCCCCCCCCACACCCCCACCCACCCCACACACCCCACCCACCCCACCAACCCCCACGACCCCACCCCCACACACCCCCACCCCCACCAACACCCACCCACCCCACTACAAATACGGTTAAAAACTTCACCACACACAAACCCCAGACCCGACATTGACCTGACAACCCCACAACACCACGCCCACCCCCACACTGAGAGACCGCCAAAGCCCACACCCCCCCCCCCCGCAGGAACACCCAACAACCACCACAAAACCCAAGCAACACACCACAACCACCACACACCAAACCCCAACCAACCACACCCCCCCACCCACCCACACCCCCCCACAACTAGCCGGGACAGCACCCCCCTCTGACAGCAAGCACAACCCCCCAACACCCACCCAGCCAGCAGGAACACCCTACAAATCCCCTAGCAGACACAAACCACACCACACAACCCACCCGTCCCAAACCACCCACACCACCCCAGCTAACCTGCCATGAGCCCACACCCCGATACACGGACAACCCGCCCACCCACCCACACCCCACCACCAACCCACCAACCAAACAAACCCGTAACCCGACCCCCAACCGTCCGAACCTTAACCCACCACGCACCCCGCCCACCCCCCCCCCCCCCCGACGCTCCACCCCCCACCACACCCACCCCCCCCCCCCATCCCCCCACCCACCCCACCCCCCCCCCACACCCCCCCCCCCTGATATCAACATGGAAACACCTACTCCGTCAACCATTCGATCACGGGGGCGTTGAAGTTC